GATGTGGTCTGTTCTGCAGCCAGAAGAGGGAGGTCAGAGAGGGAGAGATACAGCAGTGCCAGTCCAGCATGCATAGTTTATTTGAGGTAAACAGAGTACCGTCATGGTATGATGAGTGACTGCAGTGGTCATTGAACATATTTCTGTTAGAAATGATCATGGAGAAGCAACATTCCTCCATTATGCAAAAATAACCACTGGTAGTCTGGGACACTGACCGACTGCTGAAGTGGTGCACAGCTCATGAGGCACTAAGGAGCTCCAGCGTCTGCTGGTTTTCATTACTCTCTGGCACTTACTTGCTCAATAGATTTATAGGAGGGTCCATTCATGGTTTCCAAGGAGTTCATCAGTGGCTTATTCAAAGATTGGGACAAAACCTGAACACTGGCCCTTGAGGACAGCATGCATGGCCTGCCTACTGTATATATACACTTCCACTCTGAGCCAGATTCCTTCATGTGGTTCTTATAGGTACTCCACTCAGTTGAGAACAGCCACTGTGAACTGACCAGTGATGCATTTGTCACTATTTGCAATATGGTCATGATGCCTATGTGGTGTTGTATAACATGAAAGGGAAGGGGCTGGGCTCCCTTTGCTGTTAAACTGTTAAATTCAGACCTGCCAAACTCATTCACCCCCCTCCCGTTCCCGGTCGTCCAAAAACACAGCGGGACTCCTGTCTGGAGGCGCAGCCGCGCCTATACCCAAATTCAGCGACCAAAGCAAAGGCGAGATAAAGTTTGAAAGAACTTGGAACGTACAGATTCACGGAAAATACATAGCCTCCCGTTTTGGGAGAGAAGAGGTGTAAACAGACTCATAAGGGAAGGGATAGAGCACGGAGGGGAGGGACCCAGTACGCGGATGGACTTAGACCGATAGGGTTTATAATGCGCACTGTCTTCTCACCCGTCTCCATATCTGTCCGTCTCTCACTGGCGGAAGATGTAATTGTTTTCTAGGACTAGGAATTCTATCAAGGGTGAATCCTTTCTGCTGAAAGCAGTTATATTTTCCATTTCCAATGATCAACTAGAGCTGATCCTCCATCGTCTCTCCGGTCTCCTGCGGGACGGGTGGCAAGAGAGGGTTGGGAGAGACGGGTGTTGAAGCTCTAGTGAAGGGTCTCAGCAGAATATTGCTGCATTTCGGTGGTTCCCAACGGTAAGTAAACGTTTCTTTTTTTTTTTACTAACAGACGCAAAGTTCACCTTTTGATGCCTTTCTCAGTCTCGGAGAGTTGCCAAAGTCTTACAACACAAAACGTCACGTTGCAAACAGGGCCGTAGCTACATATGAGGTCCGGTCCTCGGTAGTTTTTTTCGAGTAAAAATAAAATGCAAAAATACACAAGGTGCAATTTCGAAACTTGGTTGTGCATCAGCAGTTTTCCTCTTGTTATATGTCACTCACTGACAGTCATTCAATTATCCCCTGTCAGTTAAACATTTTTAGATTGGTAAATTAGTCTAGTTAGTCTAGCCAGCTATCTAAACTTGTAGAAGGCCTAATCACGTGCCCAGGGGCCCTGACATCCAGGGGGGCCCCATTGATTTTGTTAGTCACTCTCACTCAGATATCATATTAACATGGCATACGTCATGGCAAAATGTGTAGAATTGCAGGAAATTGATTTTAAAACTGCAAAACATTCTTGCCACCCCATGGCAAATTGTGTAGAATTGCAGGAAATTACCTGTAAAACTGCAACAATAACAAAAATCAGTAAAGCAAATGTATATGGCCTCCCGAGTCCTGGTTTTAATCCAGGCTCTGTCGTAGCCGGCCGCGGCCGGGAGACCCAGGGGGTCGGCGCATAATTGGCCCTGCGTCGTCCAGGGTAGGGGAGGGAATGGCCGGCAGGGATGTAGCTCAGTTGGTAGAGCATGGCGTTTGCAACGCCAGGGTTGTGGGTTCAATTCCCACGGGGGGCCAGTATGAAAAATAAAATAATGTATGCACTCACTAACTGTAAGTCGCTCTGGATAAGAGCGTCTGCTAAATGACAAAAATGTATTTGTTTACCTTTTGTTAATAAAATACTTTTTCTGCTAACAGATCCCTCTGTAGGTATGAAATTATAGTTTTTAATCCATTGCTGAGTTAATGGGTAGTGGCTAATTGTTTAGCTAATATACAATGTGTTTGTAGATCGACTGAGGTGAATGAAGCTACAGCGACCAATATGCTAATAGCTGGGTTCATTTTTGCTTGTTTTTTGCTGTTCTCCAAATAGCATTTTAGAGTTCTTAAATTGTATAGAAATGCAGTAAATGAGCTTCAACTTTCTTAAAATGTATTGGATGGGGGAAAGGGTGAACAGCGGTTGAACATGGGTCAGTCGGACCTAAGAGATGGGCGAACGCCGTTCGGAAGGGAGGGGCGATGGCCTCCGTCGCCCCCGGCTGATCGAAAGGGAGTCGGGTTCAGATCCCCGAATCCGGAACCCTTCACTCCAGGCCTCACTAAAACTCACAGGACCCTGGCTAGGACCCTGGTTGCAAACTGCCTTTATTGAGAGCTTTAATTTGTCCTTCCTTTTGGCAAGCGCATTGTAATTGTTTCCTGGGTTTCTGTTCTGTAGAGCTGTCTGATGATTATCATTTGCTGGATTTAATTAGCCTATTTGTCAGTTATTTTGCTATACACTGTATCCAAGTTCTTAGAAGAGTGGTTAAGCATAATACATATCTTATGACCTGATTATAAACTAGGCCCATAGAGTAAAAAAGTTGACTCCTTTAAGTGGTCAGCCTATAAAGGCAAATATTTATATAATTACATTAGTGCCAAAAAATACCTGGAATGCATGAAATAGCCCATCTGTAGAATTAGCACTTATTAAAATTTTCCACAGCTTCTTGTACGCGTTTGTTCTTGTCATGCCCTCCCTCCCCAATCGCCTCTCACGCTCTCTGTTTTACAGCCACCGGGCATTTGGTCGTTGGACAGCGATATTGAATCCTTCAGGAATGTTATTTGCCCGAAGGCACAGCAAAACGTCCTCAATACTAAAAAGTGACACATAAAACGAGATGGAAAGGTTTGCAGCCAAAATGACGTGACCAAACAACTTTATAAGAAACAAGAGAGGATTTTTTGTAGCAGTTGGTAGATGACGAAACCGAACTACGCAGCTTTAAAAGAAACTAGAGAGAAGATTTTGTGGACGTAGATAGTTTATTAGAGTCAGGTGGTATCAAGCAGACATCTCCCTCTCTCTCCCACCTCTACCCCTCTCTCTCTCTCTCTCTCTCTCTCTCTCTATCTCTCTCTCTCTATATCTCTCTCGCTCTACTACTCTCTGCTGGGCCACTTTGAACCAAGTAGGCTAAAGTGCCTAGTGAAAGTCTACACACCCCTTGCACAGTTGTCACATTTTGCTGCCATAAAATAAAATCTACAAAAGGATTACCATACATTTTTTCCTACTGATCTACACAACCTGCTACACATTGACGTAAAAGTCAAAGAAAAAGTATAGAACACTTTCTAAATTAATAAAACAACGAAAATGTCTTGATTGTGTATGTCTTCACACCCCAGAGTTAATACTTTGTGGAATCACCTTTGGTAGCAATTACAGCTGTAAATAATTTTGAATAAGATTCTACCAATTCTGCACAACTCTTAAGGCAACATACACTGAGTGTACAAAACATTAGGAACACATTCCTAATATTGATTTGCACCCCCCTTTGCCCTCAGAACAGCCTCAATTCATAGGGGCATGGATTCTACTAGGTGTCAAAAGTGTTCCACAGGGATGCTGGCCCATGTTGACTCCAATGCTTCCCACATTTGTGTCAAGTTGGCTGGATGTCCTTTGGGTGGTGGACCATTCTTGATACAACTGTTGAGCGTGAAAAACCCAGCAGCGTTGCAGTTCTTGAGGCTTAAAAATCCTTCTTTAACCTGTCTTCTCCCCTTCATCTACCCTGATTTGAAGAGGATTTAACAAGTGACATCAATAAGGGATCATAGCTTCACCTCGATTCACCTGGTCAGTCTATGTCATGGAAAGAGCAGTTATTTTGTACACTTAGTATGTTTTGTACACTCAGTACAAATCCAGTGGTGGAAAAAGTACTCAATTGTCATACTGGAGTAAAATTAAAGATACCTTAAAAGAACATTACTCCATTAAATGTGAAAGTCACCCAGTAAAATGTTGCTGTCCTGCCTGAGCATTCGACATTTAACAAAAGTACTTTTGGGTGGCAGCCAAAATCTATGGGTGTAAAAAGTACATATTTTCTTTAGGAATGTAGTGGAGTAAAAGTTGTCAAGAATATCAATGGTAAAGTACCAATACCCCAAAAACGACTTAAGTAGTACTTCAAAGTATTTTTACATATATCAATTGTTTTTGTCAAATGTATTCAAGCTCAGTAAATTTGGTTGGGAGTCATGGACAGCAATATTGATTTTCAAGCAGATTTAAGTCAGGACTGAGACTGGACCTCTCAGGAACACTCAACACCTATTGGAAAGCCATTGTTCTATACTTTTTCTTTGACTTTGAAAATGTGGAGCAGGTTGTGTAGATCAGTAGGAAGAAAATCTAATATAATCCCTTTTTAGATTTTATTTTAAGCAGCAAAATGTGACAGTGCAAGGGGTGTGTAGACTTTCACTAGGCAATACTTCACTATTGTTCTTCTTCACAGGCAAAGCCAGAGCCAATTAGGCCATGTGAGCATAGCTCAGTGCAGATGATTACCGTGTTTAAATGGATGAGTGAAGAAGAGCATACAGAATATTGCAAAACTGCAACAGGCTTTATTAATTAAAGCCATGCATATGCTTAGAAGTTTCCCCCCCAAATCATGGCACATATTTTACAATATGGTTTCTTGTGGAAAAACAGTCTATCTCAATTATTTTTAAGACATAACAACAGGTGAAGTAGGCTAGGCCTATGTAACTGAACTCACAGAAATCCTTTCAGGTGGTTATAACAATAAATGTTATATGCTCCTTAAGGTGCAGTCATGTGGCAAAGAATTGTGATTTGCTGTGCGCTGCTTGAGCTCTGTTCGGCGGCACCGCCCGCTCACATCAACCGTCTGGCACTGTTCCCTGACAAGAGTGCTTGGTGCGAGGCCAAGAACATCACACAGATAGTCGGGCACACCGGCTGCCAGCCTCGCTCTATCCAAAACAGGTCAATATGGAGCACACACACACACACTCACTCAAGTCCATACAACACATGCAGAGGCATTTCATATGATATTCAAGAGGGTGACTGACTCACTTTAATAATGAAAAGCAGGAATGAAGTTTGACTTTGAATGGCCAAATATCACTATAATTTGAATGTGCACAGGTCACCTCCAAACAGAATCAAAGCAGCCATGAAATATACAGATACTGTATATAAGCTGAATGGTGACGTCTTTCCTCCCTCTATCCCCCCTCTCTTTCCTCCCTCTCTCCCCCCCTCTCTTTCCTCCCTCTCTCCCCTATCATCTCAGGGCGTGTCTGGGGCAGTGCTTCAGCTACAGTGTCCCAAACACCTTCCCCCAGTCCACCGAGTCCCTGGTGCACTGTGACTCCTGCATGCCTGCACAGACACAGTGGGAAGTGGTAAGTTCGCACGCACATGCACATGCACACAAACCCCAGCTAATGCAACACTACTCTTTCAATATAAACACATAAACATATAGCCCACAGAAACACATTACCACAACCACAATTGATCCTGCATTTAATTCATCTGAGGTTTCCCTTGTCGTCTGTAATGGGCCTGTCTGTCTAGTAGCCAGGGATTCCAGAGCCCAGGAACAACAAAGGCCCTGTGTTGAGGTGTATGTAGTTTGGAGAGCAGCCAGACAAGTAGGATAGGAGTGGGTCTGGGACCACAGGTGATGTGACTTCATGCGTCAAGAGAAAAAGCTTGACATACATGTTATATACTGTATACAATATTGAAAAATAAATGGAAGCAGACTCATGTGCATTATCAATCCCGCTGTTGATAAATTAATTATGACTATGATTATGACCATTTTGATCCACATAATCCTGATGTCTAAGGTCTCTCTTTGATAATGGAATGCATTTTTTCTGGATTTTTATAGTTTGGCTAAAAGCAGTTATGTTCCCCTGAGCATAAAAGCGTGCAGAGTTTTTTGTTTTCTCAAGATTTACAATTCTGCCATTTATTTTCATGGTCTCAAACCATAATGGTGCATTGTCAAATTATTTCAGCTGTGTCAAGCGTGACTGAATTCCTGAAATCACAACATGACTCAGGGATACATTGTTTGAAGATGGATACTGAGGTTTTGTCTCTGCCAGAGACTGACATGTGTGGGAGACTCTGTAGGAGAGTCCGGCAGTGCTTGTCCATTTTCCTGTGTGTGTGTGTGTGTGTTTGTGTGTATGCCGTGCATGTGTGTTTGGGGTTGGAGGGGGGGTATGTGTGTGTATGTTTTTTGTGTGTAATGCATTGTGCATTGTGTTTGTGTGTAGGTGACTCTGGAATGCCCCGGCAGTGAGGACGCTCCTCGTGTGGATAAACTGGTGGAGAAGATCCTCCACTGCAGCTGCCAGTCCTGCAGTAAGGAGGGAGCCCAGGAGGGGGCAGTGATGCAGCTCTACCCATCAGAGAGCGCCCAGGACCCACCTACCCTACCAGAGATCCACCACGGCGGCTCACCCCCTCACCCTCACACAGACACACACTCTCAGCATGCTCACAAACACACAGAGCTACACCCGCACACACACACATCTGATGGAGGGTAGGTCGCTCGATTGCCACGGACACTCCTCTCTCGCCATTCCTGATTCTTCTTCCAAACCTCTCTACAAGTTGTTTCTTCTTCTACAGTTACAGGATGATGCCTTTTCCCTTCTCTTCCATTCAACCACTGTTTCTTAAAAGCACTTTGAAAGTAAAACTTCACTTAACATGAAAATGTAAACTGCTTATAAAAGCACACACACACAGAAGCTCACTCATGCTGTACTCTTCACAAGACAATCACAGTATAAATATGAAAAAATTTATGCACTCACTAACTGTAAGTCCCTCTGGATAAGAGCGTCTGCTAAATGACTAAAATATAAATGTAAATGAACGCATATAAACACACCAGTTTATCTACACAATTTTTGTCATCTAACTTCTCACTTAGGACAATGAATATCACAATCCTACACACACTCAGGCATGCACTCTGACACAACTATAGACTTTTGAAGCAGTAGACTTATTTCTGTTAATCTGTCTTGAAAAAAAAAAATCATACAGCTACAGTACAAACTGTACAGTTTCTGACTTAATTTCTGTCTATCACCTATTTGCATTAGTATCTGACCTAAAGCTATATGTTCCAATTTGTGCTTCTCCTACGAGAATAAAGCTAGTTTTGTTCAATCTTATCAATGAAGCTCTCTATCTGTAGTGATTTAGTTAAGGCTTTTGTCTATTATTGTCATCATGTGGTGGGAACGTGATCTTGGACTAGTCAGCGGCCCATGTTCATATATGATAGATTTGATTCTGCTGCTCTCTGCTGGTTTAAAGAGGTACTGCAGAGGGCAACTTGATAAAATGCAGCAGCATGCATGTGCTGTACTGGTGTGTATATAATTTCAAACTCAAAAATCCAATGATCGGAAGAAAAAATGCAGCATTTGGATACAGAAGTGAAAGGATTTAAAAACAAGTTACAGCATTTTCCATCTCTTTACATTGGCTACCTTTCAATCCCCAGTCCTAATCTCACCTATTTAAATGTACTAACACCATACATAGACATTTTCACTCAAGTACAGAGGTTTAGGCTGTGTGTGTTATGATCCTAACTGTGGACTATAGATGTGTGTATTGGCCATGTTTGCATCGTCACTACTCTCTGCCTACAGCAGTCAGCATGGACACGGACGTTGTTCTCAAACAGAAACCGTTGACTAGTAAGTAACATACAGATCAAACACACAGAGAGGACTTTCCCCCCATTTTAACCAACACTAAAAGGCAGGCATTAAAACTACAAAACGCACACACACACACACAACAATAATGCATTCATGTACATATCATCAATTATCTGTTTTCACAATTTCAAATGTAAAGTATTGTCATGTAAATTCCCACTCTCCTTTTCCTCCACCATCTAAGTGCTCTATTATCTGAGTTCATATGGACAATGTTTCTAACTTTATTAAGGTTAACTGTCATCTGATCATTTCATCACAGAGTGATTTTGACCTATAAAGCCACTAAATGTCATGGCAACCCAGAGTGGCGTGTTGTAGATAGATGGAGTTGGGTAGAGAGAGAGAGAGAGAGAGAGAGAGAGAGAGAGAGAGAGAGAGAAGAGAGAGAAGAGAGAGAGAGAGAGAGAGAACACAGCTTGAGCTAGTCCATTAGTGCAGTAGTAGTCTCAAAGTGCCTCCTGTAGCTCAGTTGGTAGAGCATGGCGCTTGCAACGCTAGGGTTGTGGGTTCGATTCCCATGGGGGGCCAGTATGAAAAATGTAAGCACTCACTAACTGTAAGTCACTCTTGATAAGAGTGTCTGCTAAATGACTAAAATGTAAATGTCTGTAGGTAGAGCTCAATAGAGTTTAATATGCAGATAGTGAAGGGGATCCGTGGGATGTCTGAGGTTAGGGAGAGACAGAGGTTACATTGACCAGAGAGATCTATTCCTGGCTGATATTAAGTTAGAGTAACTTATGGCTGCTTTGCATGATGAGAAAAATGAATGATTAAACAGCTGTGATTGTGTGTTTTGACTTGAAACTGTTCAAACCTTTCAATTGACAAATAAGCATGATTAGGTAACGAACAATAAAGACCAACCATGTTTGAAACCATAACCAAACGGACCAGCAGATGTCAGTATGACTGCATGGAGAAGTTGACCTGAGTATCAGTGGGAGAGGACTACCCCAGGGTGTTTTTGTTCCAGTAAAAGATCCCCTCCTCCAGAGAGAGAGATAATACTCCAGGGAGAGTTTTCTATTCATTGTTTGTCAACCATGTCATACCATCAGTTTAGCCTAGTCCCCAGCTGGGCCTGGCCCAGTCCTACAGACAGCAAGGGAAGAGAATGTGCTGAGTGACTGTGTGTGTGTGTGTGTGTATGTGTGTTTGTTTTTTTGTTTGGGAGGGTCTGCTACATCGGCTAGTGTGCGACATTAGAGGGGGTGTGGGGGCGTGAGCAGGGTATGATCTCCGTAATCTGTCACATGGGGATAGCCCAACCCAGACCTCTCTCATCAGAGAGGTGTGTAGGACAACTTCATGTCTGGTTGATATAGCCTACAGGTATTATTAATCACGCCCTCCATGTCCCCTCTGTAGGTTACCAATACTAGAGCCTGTACAGGTGACCCTGCCAACAGGCAGCCTATGGCCAAGAGATGGGTGAGTGCTGCTTTGCCTGGCTTCGGTCTTCTGATGCTGCATCACTGAGGGGTTTGTACTTATATGATGCCCCTTTAACCAAGACTTTTGGTAAACAAGGATAATTAACATAGGGATGCCATAATGCATTACATGAGAGTAAGTTTATGATGCTGTAGCTAAACTTGGATAAAATGATTAAAAAACGAGTAAAAAAAAACGTTAGATGAACTTCCAAAGTGAGGTCAAACGTTGGGAAAAGCGGATTCGGATAAAAGAGAAGAGGACAATATAAGTGGAACATCATTAAAACAGGCGAATTCTAATAGGGTTATTGGTATGGTCTGCTCATCCCCGTTATCTCATTTTCACTCCACCGCGTGCGTGTGAAGTCACTAATGTTGAAGAGGACAGTGCGCCGTGTCCAATTGTGCTGAGGTGGTCTCTCTCTCACCAATTTAGTACACATACTCATAGCATGCGCGCTGCGCACCGCTCTGATCTATACACACTCGAACGCAGCACGCACGCATCGCTGTACTACTGTCTTGGAAAAGGCAATAGCTGCGCATCCTAAAAAGTGCTGTTTTGTTTGTTTCTACTGTTCTCAGCTAACGCGGGAATATAATATTATTCTGACATCCGCAGGAATTTGGAAGCACCTGCTCCTGTTTCTGGGGTCAACAATTTCAAAGGAGTCTTCTGAGACATAGTGACAGAGACACCAGAGCGAGGTAAGTGTGCACATGTCATGTTAGACGTATTTGGAATACAATTCTGCTTGGATTGTTGTATTTTGTGAAATACTGTATCTTAAGTATCATTACAGCATTGGCTTTTAAATGTGTTATTTATAGTTGTCCCACTGGGCACAGACGTCAGTTCAACGTCTAGTTTTCATTTACATTTGGTTGAGCTGTCAACTAACGTAAATTCAACGTGAAATCAACCAACAATTCATTGGATTTTGGTTAAAAGTTGCGTTAAATTTTTTGGAAATACCCTTATGTTGATGACTTTTTGCAAATCCAACGACTTTTCCACATTGATTCAACGCCATCACATAGATTTGTTGTTGTTGAAATGACGTTGATTCAACCCGTTTTTGCCCAGTGGGGTGGTGCTACTGCCCGGAGCGCGGTCGGTGGGGAGGGGCGGAGGATCGATCGCTGTTGTCGATTCCACTGAGCGCAGGATGGGGTGGGGATAGGGGTGGGGCGTAGGCCTAAGTGGGAGGACAGCGGGGGTGATGAAAAGAACGATAATATACTGGACACAAGATAATTAAATGTATCTGGGCGTGATGGTACGGGTAATTGGGCCATTTTATGAGTCCATATTGTGTTTTGTGGAACAGCAACATATTGTACCTTGTTGTTTCATCTCTCTCTCTCTCTCTCTCTCTCTCTCTCTCTCAACCAGTGTGTGCCCACTGGGACATTCCTCCAGCTTCACACAGCCTAGCAAGGCTCCTAGTCAGCTTGATAGGTAAATCACCTGAAAAGTTGCATTTGTGTAACACAAAACAGTGAGATAAACTGACATTTTCACTAACACCCTATGCCTCCACATGAATTAGTCATATTTCATCATCACAGCTCATGCAGCCTTACACCAAATCCATAGTTAATGTGTCCTCTGTGTTAGAAGTCTGTTTTAGAGCTGTACGTCAAACATCATTACTGGTTTACCATTAGTTACAAAGCTGTGTGTCGGTCTGTGACATCACAGTGGTAAAGACATTAACTTGTGGGGAAATGTAGAACAATAGAACAATAGGCAGGTGATTGTAGGAAAAGTAGGATTACGCTACATTCATGAAGAATGACATTGGACCATTCACTCTCCAGCTGATAAAACTCCATGGTTAAATGTATCAATGTATTCTCTCTCTCCTCCTCTCTCCTTCCCTCTCTCTCTCCCCATCAGGATGTGTGGGGTGGACGTGGACCTGGATGAGGGGGGCTCAGGTGACGAGGAGAAGGAGCAGGAGTTCTGGGTGGGGGAGGGGGTGAAGATGCTGCCCCCTCCCCCGGCCCACAGCGAGGGCAGCGTGTGGGGCAGCCGCCGGGGCAGGTGTGGCTGTGTGGCGTGCGGGGCGGGGCTGCTGTTGTGGAACGTGGGCGTGGCCCTGGTGTGTGTCCTGGTCCTGGTGGCCGTGTTCACTCTGGTCCTGCTGCCCGCCTCGCTGCTGCTCTATGTGGGCTTCCTCTGCCACTCACGGGTGAGTAGTGGGCTGCTCATAGTGCTACTCAAAGTCTCTAACACAACCTTTGACCATCAGAATAATGTGGTAGGATTTTATCGCCGAATTGAGGTCATAATGCTTAGCTTGCTAGCTTTCTCTGATTAGCTTAGCATGTTGCTGCAAGTTTGCTACATTTTACTCTTTGCTTCAAGTCAGGACACCAGTTGTATCTTAGAGATATTGTCACATTTGTCTGACTACTGTAACACAATAATGATTTCAAAACGTTACAACTTGTAACTCAAAGTTTTATTTACAAGATTCTCAGTTCAAACCTCCGCCATGTTTTCAAAAGTTATGCATCTGTTAAACTCCGCCCATTGACCTTTTAGAAACCAATCAGATTCTTTCTGCCCTTAGAACGAAGTTGACTACACTTTATGTCAACATGCGTTACGCATGGCAACCCTTAATAAACCAGTAAATAACAGCTTATTTGCATTTGGAACCAGCTAAAATAACATAATAATAAGATCCCCACTAGTGGATAACTGTCTGCCGTGCTCCAACATGAAAGTGTTTCAACATGAATTTACATGAAAGATTCCCTTCTGCTCCACCCTAACCCAACACTGTAAACGTATACCGGGCTTGCCCAAGTATCTAAAGAGTGGGAGGACTCAGTTCTTGTCGTGCATAGCACAGACACAGAGAACACCCTGGACCAGAGGCAAACAAACACACTCAGGGTGGGACAGGATGTCGATTTTCAAGTATCTGTCCAAGTGGGAGTATGTACTGTAGATTATGAAGAGTAGGGGGGCAAGCGCAGAACCCTGTGGCACACCCTGTGTTTCTTCAGCAGTACATGGCACAGGCACAGGGAACACCTAGGGGCAGACAGACACACCCCTACATTTCTGGGTAAGATAGGACTTCCCTGCCAACCCCTATCAGCCTCACCGTTCTTTAGACATCACCCGGAAGCTGACATCACTTCATTGGCCTATAGGCAACATTAAAGTGAGAGTTCACTTTAAAATCAAAGTTAGTGCAGAGCTCATAAAGTGCATGGTTTAATGTCTAGATGAGACCACATCCCATGCCATCTCTTATGTAGATCCGGCTATATTCCTTAATCCCAAATGAATGGGAAAGGTAGGCATAGACAACAGATGGCCTGGATGCATCTTGGCATTAGAACACTTTTTAGGTCTTAAAGCGCCTGACAAACTTTGATTTTGGAGTGAACTATCATTTTAGTAACACAGATGGACTGTCTAGAACACTCTGGACTACAACATGATTATGATGTGCTGAGAAGCAAACTTTGTTTTTGGAGTGAACTGTCATGTTAAGACCACCTTTAAGAACAGGTGGACTGTCTAAAACAGGATTATTATGTGCATTCTGAGTCAGTCAGTAAACGCTATCACTCTCATAATGATCCTAAAGTGTCCTCTAAGATCTACAGCTGTTGTCCTTGTCGAAGAGTAGACCCCCAAATCACCCTTTCACAGCGCTCAGTGGACTTGCTTGTCTCCATTATCGATGTTACAGTGAAATGTGGCTCTGTACTAAGTTGTATTTTGTCAACTTTTCACAGGCGTTTGCTAACTTTTTAGATATTTGGCAGAATTTTGTATAATGATCACACTGATTTCTCTTTCTTTGGAAAGTTGGCATTTAATGAAATCAATAGCAATCCTAAATATCGTAAAACATCTTGAAGACACTGTATTTTCAAGGCATTTTCATTTTCACGGCTTCATTAGTGATGGCTGGGGAGGGTGTACCGTTATACAGAATGTGAGTGGTATTTGTAATGTGTAGCTTAATGGTATGTTGTGAACAGTACTATATAGAAGACAACAGGTGCCAGTATAGACCCTTGCTGTCTGCCAGTTGGGGATGTCAATCAACAGTTTGTCTTGGAAAAGTGATGGATGGGACAGTGAGAGAGGATATCCATGAGAAGACCTGATTGTTGAAATTTGTGAGTTAGTCCCCAGCTGGGCTCAGGCCTATACAGACAAGACAGAAAGAGTGAAGAGGAGAAAATGTGTGTTTGTGTGTATGCGTGTGTAGATGAGTGTGTACTTGTAGTTGATGATGGGCTCGAGGTTGCAGAGCTCAGTTGAGGTGGGTGGGGAAATTCCTCTTGAAAATGCTGACAATTAGAGAATTCTATGCCAGAGAGTTCTTATAGAATGTAGCCCTAATGAGACAACACTGAGTGTTTGAGTGTTTGTGTACTCCTATGTTGGTGTTTTTGTGAATTTTTGAGTATCTGTCTGTTTGTGTGTGCGCGCGTCTGTCTGCCTGTGCATGTCCCTCTCTGTGTATCTGTATCCCTCCCTCCTCTTCCCTCTTGCTGACAGTGTGTGTATATAGTATGTCACCCATTAGCATTGCTCACAGGTTTTAAATAAAGTCTAGCAAGCAGAGCAGGGGCTCCACTCTTATCTCTATCTGTCTCTCTCCGTCTCTCTCCATCTTCCTCCGTCTCTCTCTCTCTCTCTCTCTCTCTTTCTGTGGCGCTCACAGGTGATTGACAGCTTAGGGGTTTTATTGGAAGCTCTAGGCTGCCTCTTATCTGAACAGTGAAGGGGCACTGGGAAAGAGTCTGTCACACCCCACTACCTTCCCTCATATGATCCCCCTCTCTTGCACACGCTCGCACACACACAGTTCCCTCCCCCTCAGTTCTGTTCAGTTAAAGATAAAGCACCAACATTTGCTTCACTAACAAAAACAACTCAGAAACGCGTACTATATCAATATAATTGTCCTTATCTCTGGAGTCTGTTTCTGTCTGAATGTTACATTAGTCTGCCTCTCCACCCCCGCAGGTCCTAGACTCCCCCTCTCCTATCTGCCGTTACCTCGACGACAACAGCTGTTCTGCCCTAATTATCCTGGGCTTCGTGATGATGTCACCGCTGGTGGTGGTGGCGGCAGCCATCTTCTGTGGGCTGCTCCGGAGGCTGCGACTCCTCCTGCTGTTTCTGCCAATCACATGTGCCTGGTACCGTGGACAGGGCTTGGACTGGGGAGGCGACGTCCGTGCCTGGGTCTGATTGGACCAACGTGCTAATAAACCTGTTGTCAAAAAGTTAAATAGGTCAACGGTCAAGAGAGAATCCAGTCCTGGAGAATCGCTGTGTCACCTAATGTATTTAGTGTCCTATTAAACTGTAGTGAATGTCATACAATCAAGTGGATACAACGTGAACCAGTCCAATTATTTAAAAACCGAGCTTGACATGTGTAAAAGGCAGTGGTTAGGGGAGTATTGCTAGTCAGAGAGGAGACAGTGGAGGTAATGGTGGGATATGCTAGCAGTTGTTCTCTGTGGATTTGTACTGGTTATGTATAGTTATATTTTTCTGTTATCAATTATCTGTTAACTTATATGGTTGTGAACATGATGTAGCAGAAAAACGAAACAGTATTGTATAAACTGTCACTCAAATGTCTAGAATGGAAGGAAAATATGTTTACAAACTTACTTCTTTTGACAGATGTTGTTCATTCTATTGATTTCATTATTTTCACCATCTGGGTTAAAGGGCAATTCTGCCACTTGTCAACCTCATATTCATTATCTTCAGCACCGAACCATTGTCTAAATTCAATCAAATAAAATTGTATTGGTTGCATACACATATTTAGCAGATGTTATTGCGGGTGTAGCGAAATGCTTGTGTTCCTAGCTCCAACAGTGCCGTAATATCTAACAATACATAACAATACACAAAAAATTAAAGAATGGAATTTGTCCGAGTCCGGAGTATAAATATATATGTGATGGGATGCATAGACATTATGGACAGTATGTGGATAGAATATGTAGTATATCTGAAGAATACGTAGAATAGAAGAGAATACAGTGCATTCAGAAAGTATTTAGACGCCTTCCCCTTTTCCACATTTTGTTACGTTACAGCCTTATTCTAAAAATTGATTAAATAAATAAAAATCCTCATCAATCTACACACAATACCCCATAATGACAAAGCGAGAACAGAAATACCTTATTTACATAAGAGTTCATACCCTTTGCTATGAGATTCGAAATTGAGCTCAGGTGCATCCTGTTTCCATTGATCATCCTTGAGATGTTTCTACAACTTGATTGGAGTCCGCCTGTGGTAAATTCAATTGATTGGACATGATTTGGAAAGGCATATATAAAAGGTCCCACAGTTGACAGTGCAGGTCAGAGCAAAAACCAAGCCATGAGGTCGAAGGAATTGTCCGTAGAGCTCGGAGACAGGATTGTGTCGAGGCACAGATCTGGGGAAGGGTACCAAAAAATTTCTGCAGCATTGAAGGTCCCCAAGAACACCCCAAGAACACAGTGGCCTCCATCATTCTTAAATGGAAGACTCTTCCTAGAGCTGGCCGCCCGGCCACACTGAGCAATCGGGGGAGAAGGGCCTTGGTTAGGGAGGTGACCAAGCACCCAATGGTCACTCTGACAGAGCTCCAGAGTTCCTCTGTGGAGATGGGAGAACCTTCCAGAAGGACAACCATCTCTGCAGCACTCAGGCCTTTATGGTAGAGTGTCCAGACGGAAGCCATTCCTCAGTAAAAGGCACATGACAGCCCGCTTGGAGTTTGCCAAAAGGCATCTAAAGGACACTCAGACCATGAGAAACAAGATTCTCTGATATAATGAAACCAAGACTGAACTATTTGGCCTAAATGCCAAGAGTCACGTGTGGAGGAAACCTGGTACCATCCCTACGGTGAAGCATGGTGGTGGCAGCATCATGCTGTGTGGATGTTTTTCAGCGGCAGGGACTGGGAGACTAGTCAGGATCGAGAGAAAGATGAATGGAGCAAAGTACAGAGAGATCCTTGATGAAAATCTGCTCCAGAGCACTCAGGACCTCAGACTGGGGCGAAGGTTCACCTTCCAACAGGACAACAACCCTAAGCACACAGCCAAGACAACACAGGAGTGGCTTCGGGACAAGTTTCTGAATGTCCTTGAATGGCCCAGCCAGAGCCCGGACTTGAACCCGATCTAACATCTCTGGAGAGACCAGAAAATAGCTGTGCAGCGACGCTCCTCATCCAACCTGACAGAGCTTGAGAGGATCTGCAGACAAGAATGGGAGAAACTCCCTAAATACAGGTGTGCCAAGCTTGTAGCGTCATACCCAAGAAGACTCAAGACTGTAATTGCTGCCAAAGGTGCTTCAACAAACTACTGAGTAAAGGGTCTGAATACTTATGTAAATGTGATGGTTTTATTTTTATTTTTTATTTGCAAACATTTCTAAAAACCTGTTTTGCTTTGTCATTATAGGGTATTGTGTGTAGATTGATTAGGAAAAATATATTTAATCCATTTTACTGTATGTACAGCAACAGTTGAATAGGATGGCCTTGACTAGAATACAGTATATACATACGAAATGGATAAAACAGTATGTGAACATTATTAAAGTGACCAGTGTTCCATGTCTATGTACATAGGGAAGCAGCCTCTAAAGTAGATCTCCTGAGTGGCGCAGTGGTCTAAGGCCACTAGAGATCCAGGTTCGAATCCAGGCTCTGTCGCAGCCGGCCACGACCGGGAGACTCATGGGCGGCGCGCAATTGGCCCAGCGTCGTCCAGGGTAGGGGAGGGAATGGCCGGCAGGGATGTAGCTCAGTTGATAGAGCATGGCGTTTGCAACGCCAGGGTTGTGGGTTCGATTCCCACGGGGGGCCAGTATGAAAAAAGTAAAATAATAATAATAATAAATATGTATTCACTAACTGTAAGTCGCTCTGGATAAGAGCATCTGCTAAATGACAAAAAAAAAAAATATATGTATATACAGTGGGGAGAACAAGTATTTGATACACTGCCGATTTTGCAGGTTTTCTACTTACAAAGCATGTAGAGGTCTGTAATGTTTATCATAGGTACACTTCAACTGTGAGAGACGGAACCTAAAACAAAAATCCAGAAAATCATATTGTATGATTTTGAAGTAATTAATTTGCATTTTATTGCATGACATAAGTATTTGATACATCAGAAAAGCAGAACTTAATATTTGGTACAGAAACCTTTGTTTGCAATTACAGAGATCATACGTTTCCTGTTGGTCTTGACCAGGTTTGCACACACTGCAGCAGGGATTTTGGCCCACTCCTCCATACAGACCTTCTCCAGATCCTTCAGGTTTCGGGGCTGTCGCTGGGCAATACGGACTTTCAGCTCCCTCCAAAGATTTTCTATTGGGTTCAGGTCTGGAGACTGGTTAGGCCACTCCAGGACCTTGAGATGCTTCTTACGGAGCCACTCCTTAGTTGCCCTGGCTGTGTGTTTCGGGTCGTTGTCATGCTGGAAGACCCAGCCACGACTCATCTTCAATGCTCTTACTGAGGGAAGGAGGTTGTTGGCCAAGATCTCGCGATACATGGCCCCATCCATCCTCCCCTCAATACGGTGCAGTCGTCCTGTCCCCTTTGCAGAAAAGCATCCCCAAAGAATGATGTTTCCACCTCCATGCTTCACGGTTGGGATGGTGTTCTTGGGGTTGTACTCATCCTTCTTCTTCCTCCAAACACGGCGAGTGGAGTTTCTCATCAGACCACATGACCTTCTCCCATTCCTCCTCTGGATCATCCAGATGGTCATTGGCAAACTTCAGACGGGCCTGGACATGCGCTGGCTTGAGCAGGGGGACCTTGCATGCTCTGCAGGATTTTAATCCATGACGGCGTAGTGTGTTACTAATGGTTTTCTTTGAGACTGTGGTCCCAGCTCTCTTCAGGTCATTGACCAGGTCCTGCCGTGTAGTTCTGGGCTGATCCCTCACCTTCCTCTTGCATGGAGCCCCAGACCGAGGGTGATTGACCGTCATCTTGAACTTCTTCCATTTTCTAATAATTGCGCCAACAGTTGTTGCCTTCTCACCAAGCTGCTTGCCTATTGTCCTGTAGCCCATCCCAGCCTTGTGCAGGTCTACAATTTTATCCCTGATGTCCTTACACAGCTCTCTGGTCTTGGCCATTGTGGAGAGGTTGGAGTCTGTTTGATTGAGTGTGTGGACAGGTGTCTTTTATACAGGTAACGAGTTCAAACAGGTGCAGTTAATACAGGTAATGAGTGGAGAACAGGAGGGCTTCTTAAAGAAAAACGAACAGGTCTGTGACAGCCGGAATTCTTACTGGTTGGTAGGTGATCAAATACTTATGTCATGCAATAAAATGCAAATTAATTACTTAAATCATACATTGTGATTTTCTGGATTTTTGTTTTAGATTCCGTCTCTCACAGTTGAAGTGTACCTATGATAAAAATTACAGACCTCTACATGCTTTGTAAGTAGGAAAACCTGCAAAATCGGCAGTGTATCAAATACTTGTTCTCCCCACTGTATGTAGACACTGGTATTGTGCTGGAGATAATGAAAATGAGGTTGAAAAGTGGTGGAATTTGCGAGGCTAATGTAAACTCCCTCAATGTATATAAAATGGTCATAAGTATAGTTCATAAACGTAGCCTAGGTTACTCTACATCAGCCATGTGTGAAAGGGATAAAACAGAATGGTAGCACTTTATTTGCCTGTTTGCTTTCTCTTCCTAAATTACATTTTACATTTTAGTCATTTAGCAGATGCTCTTATCCAGAGCGACTTACAGTTAGTGAATGCATACATTTTCATACTGGCCCCCCGTGGGAAACGAACCCACAACCCTGGCGTTGCAAGCGCCATGCTCTACCAACTGAGCTACAGGAGACTACATTGTGTTTATTTGCTATTGGAGTGTAACTATTCATTTAGATAAAAAAATGTTAAACAGAGCCGTCATTACTCATTATGTACTTAGATCCTATCAACATTACATTTCTATATACACCTAGTAATTGACTAATATGTAAATGGTTCTACAGTGAGCTCCAAAAGTATTGGGACAGTGACACATTTTTGGTTGTTTTGGCTCTGTACTCCAGCACTTTGGGTTTGACAATGAGACAATGACTATGAGGTCAGCTTTAATTTGAGGGTATTTTCATCCATATCGGGTAAACCATTTAGAAATTACAGCACTTTTTGTATTTAGTCCCCCCATTTAAGGGGACCAAAAGTATTAGGACAAATTCATTTATGTGTATTAAAATAGTAAAAAGTTAAGTATTTTGTCCCATATTCATAGCACGTAATGACTACATCACACTTGTGACTACAAATGTATTGGATGCATTTACTGTTTGCATTTGCTGTTTGTTTTGGTTGCGTTTCAGATTATTTTGTGCCCAATAGAAATGAATGGTAAATAAGGTAGTGTCATTTTGGAGTCACTTTTATTGTAAATAAGAATAAAATGTTTCTAAACACTTCTACATTAATGTGGATGCTAGCATGATTACGGATAATCCGGAATTAACCGTGAATAATGATGAGTGGGAAAGTTAGACGCACAAATATCATACCCCCCAAAAAATGCTAACCTCCCGTTATTGTAATTGTGAGAGGTTAGCATGTCTTGGGGGTATGATATTTGTGCGTCTGTCACTTTCTCACTCATCATTATTCAGACACACTCTCTCACAGACACACTATCTCAGACACACACTTTAAGTAATAATGGTGATAGAGGGTGGGTTCCAGTACAGTGGGTCTGCA